ATACTGTAGCCTTAGACTGAATCCCCAGTACCAGGAAACAGATTTGGACTCCTAACACACTCGCACGTCAAGCATCGTCAGGCATTGTCAGAAGTCTCAGCACTGACCTTTCTTACTGTCTGTAAGTTTTTTGTTTTGGTTTATTTTTGGTGCTGGAGGTTGAACCAACAGCTTGAAATACTCTGAATATATACTATATCACTGAGCTACACCACCCCGGCCCCACTTACGTTATTAAATGAGAAAAATATTTTCAGTAAAGATTTTTTTCTTAGGTGCTTATCAGAAGAGAATCAATTGCACACATTTTAAAATCTTTTTGCATCTAAAATATTAAACTTTCTCATAAAACACAGTATCTTCATATTTATAACATTTTAATATCTTTTGTTTTTGTTTTTTGAGACAGAGTTTCACTATGCAGTTCAGGCTGGCCTTGAACTCATTTTGTAGCCCAGGCTGGCCTCGAACTTGCAGTGATCCTCCTGCCTCAGCCTCCCGAGTGCTGGGATTATAGGCATGCGCCACCATGCCTGGCCTTCTCTTTTTTATCTATTTATTGGCTCCCTTCTGCCTTGTTTTCTCCCTTAATTTTACATTCTGAAACAGTACCTACAAAATGACTTTCTGCTGTGCTTTCTTTAGAGTTTTATCATCAAATAGGTTAATTTCATTTTTTAATTGATTAAGTGTATTGGTACATTTTAGGTATACATAATGATCACATTCATTGGGGCAGGGAATACAGCTCAGTGGCACAAATGCCTGCCTGGCAAGGGCAAGGTCCTGAGTTTGATTTCAAGTATCAAAAAAAGATCACATTCGTTATAGGGAATTTGTACCTGTATATGATATAACTTGATTTTTTTTCTTTTTTTCTTTGAGACAGGTTCTCGATATGTATCCCAGGCTGGCCTCAAACTCAGGGCAACCCTCCTGCCTCAGTCTCCTGAGTGCTGGGGTTACAGGCATGTGCTCCTGTGTCCAGCATTAATTTCTTGTTTGTGTTCTGTGTGTGTAGAATCACACAGTAACTAGACTTTCACTGTTTTTCTCCTATCCTGATGCTAGTGATTGAACTGGGGCCTTTACACTGTGCTACAACCCCAGTCATTGTTTTGCTTTTTATTTTGAGGCGGGGTCTCCCTAAGTTGCTATGTTGCCCAGCTGGGCTCAGATTTGCCGTCCCCCTGCCTCAGCCTCCCAGGTTGCTGGTGTTACAGGGATGGACAGCGAACCGGCCTCCAGTGCTTTTTGTAGTTTTTATTGTAAAACAGGGTCTTGCTAAATCGCTCATTTGCCAGGCAAGGCTTCAGCTTGCCTCTTGCCTGAATTTTACTCTTAAGAACATTACTTTTTAATGAAGACCCAGGAAGAAAGCAGTCTCATTCAGACTGGCCTTGAATTCATGGCAGTCCTCCTGCTTCAGCCTTTTGAATGCTAGGGTTACAGGCGTGCACCCAACGCCTGGCTTGAGCTGTTTTTTGTACAGCAATACTTTATAAAAAGTAGATTTTTAACAGACTTAGGTGTTACCTTGTCAATAGAGATTAAAAATCCAAGAGTACGTTTATATGGATGTTTCAGCATTTTAATTTACTTACAAATGACTCTGTTGTTTTGAGGTAGTGTTTTGCTATGTAGCCCAGGCTGGCCTTGAACTCACAGTGATCCTCCTGCCTCAGCCTCCTGAGTGCTGAGATTACAGGCGTGCGGCACCACGGTGGTTCGAAAAGGTTTTTTGTTGGAGGAGAGGGACAGTCAAGAAACAGCCATAAGATATCCAGGGACTTCTATCTGTATTAGCGTTTCAGAGAGGAGATTAATTCCAGCTGGGGGCGTCAGGCGAGTTGGGGGTGGACCTGGACCATGGTGACAGCAGGACCAGAGGGGAGAGGGGGGCTCAAACTAGCCTGCCTAGCCATGAAATTGTGTCTTTTTCCTTCAGTTCTGCTGACTGAACCCAGGGCCTTCACACTGAGCTATAGCCTCAGCCCTTTTTATTCTGAGCCAGGGTCTAGCCGAGTTGCCCAGGTGGAGCGCGAGCTTGTAATCCTCCTGCATCAGCCTCCTAGTGCTGAGGTCACAGGTGTGCACCCCCGTGTCCGACTGGCTTTGCATCTGCACACATTTAGTGAAGATTTCTGAGGGATCTTAGTATGTTCCTCCCACGGAACTGGAAGCTTCACCGAGGTGGGCCTGTGGCTGCTCTGACCAGTGGCTAACCCTAACACAAACTTACTGTCCCCTGGCTCTGGAGGGCAGAACCCCACGCTTGTGTCACGGTGTGGCCAGGGTGACACCCTTCTGCAGGCTCAGGAGAGCCCGTCCCCTGCCCTTCGCAGCTTCTAGAGATTCCGTGACCTGTGGCTCCCTCCTGCCCTCCGCAGAGCCAGCCAGCAACGTGGCATCTGTGTGACGTTCCCATTGTCAGCTCATTCCCTGCCATCCCACTGTCCTCTTGGGAGGACCTCTGTGATGGCTGTGGACTCCCTGGGACCACCCGGGATCCTCCCCGCCATTCAAGCTTCCTAACTTAATCCCGTCTGGGCAGTTGCTGCTACCGTGGACGTGGACCTCACGGAGTGGGCCTTCCTCTGTCTACTGCATCCACGTGCCATTTCACCAGTAATAAAGTGCTTCCCACGCATGCTGTGTGCTGCTCTAAGTTCAGTCCCCAGCACCACACACAAAAACCCTAAATAAGTAAGTAAGTAAAATGCGAGGGAACGCCGCCTTTCTCACTGGAAAGACAAAATAAACTTTAGTGACAGGAGTAAAAAAAATAATCATCTGCTGCATTGTTCCGTGCTCCTGTGTTAACAGAACTAAAACGTGAGAGTAAGTGGGAACAGCCTATGCACAAGGAAACGGTTCAACTCCCTAATACCTGATGTTTACACGTGCTAGTCTAATAAGTCTTGCCTATGTTTCTGTAAGAAAGATTTTAACAGCTTCACTGAGGTGTGATTGGCGTATAAGCTGCACACCTATAAAACACAGTTTGGTAAGTTTGATGTGCTGTATGATTAAGTCACCAGGAGCACAACTGACCACGACCATCACCCCGAAGTTTCTGACCTATTAAAATATTTCTGCTCCCTTGCCTCCTCCACTGTCAGGCAGCTGTGTGTCCGACAACACTAGACATTAGCTTTCATTTCCTAGATGTTTATATAAATGTAATCATTAGTACATACACTTGCTTTTTGTTTGGCTTCTTTCACTTAGAATTATTTTGAGATTCAGCTATCATGTGTGTCCATAGCTCATTTCTCTCTTTCTTCTTCTTTTTTTTTTTTTTTGGTCTTTTTGAGACAGGGTCTCACTATGCAGTTCAGGTTGGCCTTGAGTTCACTTTGTAGCCCATGCTGGTCTTGAACTCACAAGGATCCTCCTGCCTCAGCCTCCTGAGTGCTGCGATTACAGGCGTGCGCCACCATGCCAGGTCTTTCATTTCTGTTTGGTTTTCTGAGACAGGGCCGGGCCTCACTATGCACAGTAGTCCAGGCTGCCCTGGAACTCACAGCGTAGCTTAGGCTGGCCTCACATCGTGGAGCCACCTTGCCTGGTTCTCCCTCAAGTGATGAGCGGTGTTGCAGTGCGGGTGCTCCAGCGGCTCATGCACTCACGTCTGGACATCTGGCTGACTTCCAGTTTTTTGGCTGTTACAGATAAAGCTGCTGCGGAGTGTCCATTCACAGGTGTTTTGTGGATGTGTGCTTTCGTTTCTCTTACACACCTGAGGGTAGCGCTGTTGGGTGATGTGACTGGAGTATGTTTGAACTTTTAAGAAATTATCGGCCCATTTTCCAAGGAAGTTGTGTCATTTTATAACTCCTCCCGTATTGCATAAGAAAAATTCAAGTTGTAAGAGTGGTCACTGCTTCAGTACTCACAGTATACAAAATGTGCACATCGTGCTGGAGAAATCACTTGGGGATTTAAGGCGCCTGCGTGAGACTGAGAAGGGGAACCTCGGTTCGTGAATGCTTCTGTTTGCAGACAGTTCGGTTCTCAAACGGGTCTTCAACAGAATTGTGTTTCTGTTCACAACCTCCACATTGGTGACAGACACAGCCGTGGCCATCCTCCCGGAACCCTAAAGCAGCGTTGTGAACCAAGGCACCATTATCAGTGTCTGTCTACACACATACGGAGCGTTGCGCACGTGACAGTGTCGGCGGGGCGGTCCCGGTACTGAAGGTGATGGGGGATGGCCCACAGTAATGGGACAGTGCGTTACAGGAGGCAGGGCTCCAGCCAAGGTGATCAGGGCTGCGCAGGAAAGAGCTGAATCCATCAGTCAGATTAAATCAACGTCAGTTCTAAGCACCGTTGTTCAGGTGCAGCACTACTTTGTCATGGCATCCCTCCTGAAGGTGTCTGCCAGCATCTTCAGTTAGTTACGCTGCCTGCCAGTCACCCCGCGATGAGGTGGGTGGCTTCAGACAAGTCATTTATTCCCTCTCAGATGCCTTTCCGTCAGTGGGCAGCTCTACTG